TCTATTTTTTTCATAATTATAACAGTATTTGTGCATCTTTTTCTAAAATATGTAAAACGTATCACTTTTTCTAATGATGTTTGACATTCATTTATGAATATAGGGATTTTTCTATAATATATCGAAATATCATCTAACAGCTAGATACTTTTTGGTTTATTGTATTTATTGTCTCGTTCATTGATGATTGATCAAGTGTTTGGAGTTTGGTTTTGTCAAGGTAATAGCTGGACTTAAAAGTTCTAAGTTGCATTTTACAAGGAAATCTTCAAACTTGAATCAAGAGAGGTTGAGTGAGGTATTTCAAGTAAACCTTTTCCGGAAGCTCTATGATTGAAGCGTGTCCAAGGATAAGCTCTAGGGTTTAGCAATGAAGTAGCTATCAAGTTGAGTTGTTGATGGACTTTTGCCAAATGTGGAGATGTGCTGGATACTGGCTCCGTCCATGAGACACTCTTAGTGAAAGAAAGGCTTGAAGTGTGAAGAGAAAAGAGAAATTATATATTCTGGCTTGTCTACATGGTTGCTAGATCATTCTAAATTTATAATCTGTTCAATAATTTATTGGATGGTTTAACCAGCTCAATTCCAGTAAAATTGTTTCGTGATTTGAGTTATGTTTAAAGGTTAAGACAACGTCGTATGAGAATGATGATGAAAGGCTTTTACAAAATGTTTTCAGGGAAATAAGAAGACTTTCATCTTATTTTTCAGGGAAATCCTATTCTAGTCTTGAGCTCGATCCTTGTTGCGTGAGCTCCGTACGTATATGTGGGTCTACACCCTATCTCACAAATATAGTCATTAGCTATATATGTTTCTTTGTGATTATTTAGGGGTTGGGATGATTAAGGAGATTTTCATTTTAATCATTCACACTAATTTCCGTTTCACACGCGTAATATAAGATATAAGTTTTATGTGGTGATTCGATTTAATTTATTACTTTTATAAGTTTCCTTTTAATTCCAAGCCAATAATAGAAGACAAATATTTTAAAAGAAAATCGGGTAATTCTATAAAGTTGTATTATTAGCTACAAAAGGTGTTAGGGATATTCAATGAAATAATTAATTAAGTTTGAAGGAATTAGTTTTTTTTAGTAGTCGAGATTCTACACATATTCAATGATGCATTAGTTCTTTTAAACTCCTAGTATTACTCAATTTATTTGATTTATTAATGTTCATGTTATTCAGTTTTATGATTAGTTTTTATATAGTGTAATCATTAAAAATGAAGTTATAGAGTTTCAATCAATACACGCGAAAGTTAAAAAAAAAAAAATACACGCGAAGAACCAAATCCGAGCTAGTTGTCAGAATTCACCAACATCTCAAAAGAATTACGATATTTTAAAATCACTAGCTTATGAATTTATAAGCTACTGATAAAAAAAAAATATTGATTTATAAGCTATTGATTTCTTGTGACCAACAAAAAAAAAAGCTAGTTGTAGGAATACTAACAAAAAAAATATTGATTTTTTTTTTCTTTTTTTGAGAAACAATTTTCTCTGATAGTTGTAGGAATACTTATCTGGATTGATAATTTCTACACCCATAATCCTTTTGACGTGTCCAGGTTCTTTATGAAAAGTTTAGCAATAAGCATACATTACTTCTTGTGACAAAAAAAAAAAAAAAGCATACATATACTTCAAATCTATCAAAAGATCCTTATCGTTTGCAACTATACAAGCATATTTATCAACATAAAAAATTGATGAGTGGTGTGTGTGAATGTATATATGTATTTCAGAGATTTAAGGTTTTGATCATCCAAAATTAAAAGAAATATAGTATGTACTTGGTGCGAGTGTCATTATTCTGTGTAGTTATATTTATTTCGCTACTTGTAAAACGCTCATACATATGGTTTCAAAAGATACACATTTTGATTTATTGTAATATTTTAAAAAGAAAAAATAGGAATATCTCCTAAAAGTAATATGTTTGTTAATATTAATTTGACGTAAAAAATTGACATACAATTTTTGTTTTGTTGGATTAAAGGGTTTTTCAAATTGAAAATTTCATCATTCGTAAAACGTTGCAAGTAAATATTCTTAGGGTTTCCGCATCGTCTCTGTCTCTATTGTTCCCCGAATATATATCAGCGATGCATTCACCGATCGATGAGACGAGATCCGATCCTCCTCATTCCCCGAAACGTCAAAAGACGGAAGAGACAACCGCCGACGACAGCGATTCGGACGATTCCGATATGGGTACGCCGGAGGAAATTTAACGCTTATATGATGAGTACGATAAGAGCCAGGTTAGGGTTTCGATTTTTTATTTCTCTAACTCAAAATGATTGGTTTCGAAACTGATTATATTTGGCTAGGGTTATGAGATGGACTTTTCGAAATTTACCTTCTGTTTCGACTGGCAACAATTGGATCTTGACGATGATACATGGATTGAAGAAGACAAGCCTGATCAAACCAACAACAGAGATTTAATCGCCATGTTGTGCAATGTGGCTCTCGCCAAGTACAACGTAGAAAAGGTAATTAGGAAATAAATTTCTTTTTATCTTTTCCATGCATCTATATATGCATGACTCTTCTATTGAGAAATTTAATTGCTTTGTGTTGGTTTTGGTGGTATATATAGAATACAAAATTGGAATTGAGCAAAGTTTTAAGGGCAAACTTTCATCCATCTGCTGCAGCCACTTTCTACATCTCGTTCGAAGTCAGTGATCCTTTTGATGGTAATCAGACCAAACCTTATCGAGCAGTTGTTGGCTATTTCCCGGGACGTATTCTAGTAGACTCTTGCAATCCTAGACCCGCTTCTTGAATTCTGAGAGGTTGGTGACAATGCATTGCTAAGTATGTATAAGTTTCGCTTTTTTATGGAGTCTGTTTAATAGTGGTTATACTAGAGAGTTAGAGTTTGAAACAATTTCATGAGATTCCAAGATTAATAAACGATTCCTCCAAACTTCTAATTTGTATCTTTATNGTTTGTGTGTGACTACCATTATAATTTTTGTTTTGTTATTTGCAACTACGTCACGTTTTGTGAGTGGATGACTTTCTTTCTTTTCTTTTTTGCTAAAAGATCATGCAACTATACTCTTTTTTTGCTAAAAGAGTTGTTGACTTTAGTAGCTATGTTTATCATTTTTTGCAAATGCACTAGTTGTATGATCTGCCGGTCTATTGACGTATATGTTATTAATACGGCGAAGCATCGACAAGTAAATATATCGATGGATAGACTTGATTCTTGTAAAAATTAATGACTTTTCACACTCTTAGAAAAATCAAAAAGAATTTTTATCTCATAGGAATGTCTTTCATGGACCAACGAAATGAATGTGGTGAAGTTTAACACTCTTAGAAGAATCATTTTTCAATCTCATTTATGATCTCTTATTTTTTTAAT